CGTCATAAAATTCGACCTCTATTCATCCCCCGCTGTTCGTACTCTACCCTCGCGACAAAAGAATGCTGCAGTCCCAATTTCCACTCACCATTTTTCAAACCTCCATTTTGTCTAAGGCCCTCTACCACCCATCCTCTCCAATCAAATCTTGAGCAAATACAGGGCGAACCAATCATAACATACCATTTAATTACCCTATTACCCCCTCCCTTCACTCCTCGACCAATCAGAACGCTCCCTTTCTCCAGACTGACCCGTCTAGGCCACGGCGCCGGAGGAAGACATGGAGGGAGTTTGTTTTGACACCCCATGGCTGCCCATATACTACTTAATACCTGCAGGTACATTTTTTCGATATCTGCAGTTATAGCGTATTCGTATGTTCGGAAGCGACTTAAATAGAATATTTTGCGCAAATAGACTATTTTGAATGTCTACCATCAACGCATTATTCAAGGATATACCGGTATTCGTTTTCGCTGAAGCATTAAATATTATTCGAATTTTACTTGTATCGCTGGACTCTTTGAATACCACGTGATGAGGAATGATAATATTCATCATCTTCGGGATCGTCTACCGCTGATATATAATTCGATGTCAAATATTATTCAAACGCTCGCGTATACTCGGCTTTAAATGCCCTATCTCGATCGAGCGTTCTAACACCGAGAAACGTTTGAGCGCTACACTTTGCGACTCCCCAAGACATTTACCCGTATCGCGAAATGGTAAAGTTACTATGTAACATCCATCGGCATTACGAGAAATCGTTTTCATAAAATGTATCACATACGATTTCTTCGGATTTCGGACGCTTCACTGCAATTTCCTCCAAAATTGTATTATTTGCTTTTCTAAGTTTGTTAAACAACAGATCTCCGATTTTGAAGAATGACTAAGTGCACTGCCGGCGATTACACAACCAAGACGTGTTTTTTGTAAATACAAGTTATGACTCGCGTGTGACAGATTGATTTGTCCAATGGAGAACAATGCGTTGCTCCAGATCCGATCGATAAATCGATGCGTCGCGGCAAATAGAAATCTGGATTTACTAACTTGATTCGGCGGTATTTTAATATTCTCGCGGAAAAATTTCAGACGGTATCAAATCTGCAATGGCCAGTATCGTCAGCTTCTTGCGAAAGCCATCACGTGTTGATTGCATGGTGACTCGCACGATACCTCTCGATTCAATAACTTGAAGTGTTAATCGCGCCAATCGATTACCAGCGGTCGTACCAGCGGTTATGGGAATGCCCAGACGCTTCATGAGACGCTCGGAGATAAAATTTGTAGTGGAGCAAGTACAATATTTAGCAAGGCACGACATTTTATAATTATTTATTTTGATGGTCACCAATATATCAATGCGCTTGTCAGTAATTGCGGCGTAGATATATGCAAGATTAACGTAAGGTTTATTGCTGTTACCAGCCAGCGGGACCAGTCAGTCGGTTTGCGTAGTCTCAGGCATCGTTGCACTAGAACTAACTACATATTATTTTCACTGACGCACATATTATTTTTACAAGGGCGGATAAGGGTAATGTGGTAGTGGCACTTGACAAGACTGAATACGTACAAAAAACGGAAACTTTACTGTCTGATACTGAGATTTATAAGTTATTGATACATAATCCAGTTAATAAATAAACACAATTTAAAACGTTATTAAAGGAATTGAAGCAGCGCGGTTTCGTTGAGAATTCGGTTTATAACAAATTGAACGCTTCAAACTCTATTGCGCCTCTTGCATATGGTCTTCCGAAAATAAGATAGGTTATTCACTTCGTATTATAATTTCTTCAGTGAGGAGCCCTCTCTATAATCTAGCCTCTTTTTTAAATAATATATTACACGACAGTATACCAGTAGCAAACAGTTTTATCAAGAACAGTTTTCATTTGACTAAACATACATCTAATCTGACAATCTCTGATAACGAAGTTCTTTTATCCCTTGACATGGTTTCATTATTTACAAATGTATCTATTAATTTGGTTTTTGAAGACATAGAGAAGAGATGGCATCTCATTAAAAGAAAAACAAATATTCCCAAAAGTGAATTTTTGAAAGCGTTGAAATTAGTTCTTAATTCAATAATTTTTAGTTTCAACGACAAATTTTATAAACAAACTTTTGGGTTCACTATTATCACCCATCGTGTCGATTGTCATGCAAGACCTTGAAAGCATTACAGAAACTTCCAATTACACCATCCTTTTATGTGAGATATGTTGATGATATTGCGTTAGCATATAATGCGTCACACGTTGATATATTGATGAACACCTTCAATTCATTCCATTCCAAATTAAAATTTACAACTGAAATAGGTGGGGACAGGTAAGATTTTTTTTATGTCAGTTTAATTAAAAAAGGAAATTCTCTGCAAAATTGGTATCACAAACCTACTTTTTCTGGTCGCTATCTTTATTATTTTTCTAGATATCCTTTATGCCAAAAAGTGAGAACAATCATTGGTTTAATTGATAAAGTTTTATCTTTGTCCCATCCTATTTACCATCAAGAAAATTTTAAATTAATAACAAAAATTTTTTTAAACAAAGGATTCCACTGAAACTCATATTTTCTGAAATCAAAAACATTTAAACAATGGAACGTTCAGGGTAATACACCTATGGATAAGTCAACGAACAATAATAAAGACAAAATTAATAAGTTTTTCACAATTCCCTTTATACCACTTTTATCGGAAAAAATAAAAAAATTTTTGAAAAAAGACTCCTTAATACACGTGGCATATAAAGGGATTAATAATCTTAGAGAATCCCCCGCCCTCTCGCCCTCTCCTCTCTCCCCTCCCCTCTCTCCCTCCTCCTCTCTCTCTCCCCTCTCTCTCTCAAACGTCTTCTGAATACTTGCGTCCAATTTATGTACAACCTCTGCAAAGTTGAGCACATCTCTCCGTACTACGCCAAACTAGAGTGGCTCACTGCTGATGGCAGAAGAAACTATTTATGTTGTTTTCTTTTCTTGATTTTTCGATCGGACTCTCCTTCCTATCTCTCTTATCAATTTCCGATTTCAAATCGCGACCCGCGCCACCTCACGTGCCTCCTTCCCGATCTTATCATCCCCCCTTACAGAACCTCCTCTTATCAACGCTTCTTCCTCTACCTATTCCTATTCAAGAATCAGAGTACTCTGTGTACCTTCAGACGCGAACTCTTCACTGTTACTTGCAGCGACGCGAGAGAATCATCATAAAATTTTATATTCCCCTGCGCGATCTCTCTTAGCGCCTTTGGTTATCTCTCTTTTATCAAGAATTATTTTCTTTTCTTGCAATCTCATCAGCGTCTAACTGATTTTAAATTATCAGGTATTATATTCGCACGCACGCACGCACGCATATACACATAAATCTTCCTATTCGTGTCGTCTTACAATGTTTATCATAACTTATTGTCTATAAGTCTCATTTCTATTGCTTGTCAGTCAATTATACCATAGCGAAATGTCATTGTTAAATTTAAAATACTTTTTATTAACCATTTTATAGTTATACTTTATATTCTTAGAGAACTTGTCCTAAAATATCAATGAACGATTTATCTATCTATCTATTTATCTCTCTTCCTCCGTGACTCAAGCGAATCCGGCAACTGATTTGGAGGCAGTAGGCGAATATCGATTCGTTATTTTTAGGGGCAGTCCATCCGCTGTGTCATTCCATCTACTTTGTCCCTAGAATCCTCGAGAACGGCCCTTTCTAGTGATGTTATCATCGCGCGCGATTTATTTTGAAAAAGCTAAAAGTATTAAATTAATGACAATAATGAGATTGTCCTTTCTACATTAAAAGCGATCGTTATCAAATTATGATATCGATATTAAATTTAGTTTTTCGTGAACAGTTCTTTTTTTTCGTCTTAAGTATATGTAGTAAAATCAATATTTAATTTATTTATAAATATGCCGACATTAAACTATAAACAAAAGCATATAGCGCAATAAAACATAAAGATATTAAGGCTCCTGAGATAGTCGCCATGTTGGAATCGTGATGTCAGAAGCGAGAACACGTTAATTTATGTTGCATGCCAGTTGTAAATAAAGACAATTTGGATAAATCTGAATGACGAGATCGCTTTAAAATTTTATATTTGTAAAAATCGACAAAAACTTTCCTGCCTTGATAATCAGTAAGTATTGTATATGATATCAGTAAGTAAATAATCGTAAAAGGCACGTAAAGTGAGCCTCTTTCTGGGCAGGAAACACACAGTCAGGAAAACAACGGTTGTCGGAACACACGACTATTGAAACGAATAAAATATACACTTTTAGATATAAAATTCTATGATAACTGTATTTTCCGACCATTTTTAGGACTTTCATAAGTACGAGACAATTCACATTTTCACAATTAAGCAAATAATAACGAAATGGCAAGCAACACAAATTTCATCGTCAAAACGTCACTTTTCCATGCCTATAAGTTCAGTCATTTGTCATGGCGAGACACTGTAACACGCATACAAGCACGAGCTTATGTACAATAGATGTGCTGGCCTTCGGTGCTCCAAGAGCACATGTACATGGGCTCGTACTTGTGTGCATGACTACCAGTTTCGCTAGGCCGCCGTCTGATTCTGTATCGCCACCGTCAACGCAAAGTTCTTAGCTGAGTACTAAGGAGCCTTAAGATTTTTGTAATCTATAAAATTTTCGTCAGAAGGAATGTAATATTACATCGATTTAAATGAAAACATCTTTACCTGATATTGATAATGTGGTCTCACATAATATGGTTTCATACAATATGTATGTACATATATCTAGCAATTTAAATTACATAACACATTAAATTACATATTAACAAAAATATGAATTTATAATAGCAATTTATGTATGCAAGTAATTACATTAAATACTTGTTATTACATTACACATTAATTATATCATTAGATATTACATTAGACATTCCTATATTTTTACAAGTATAATGATATTTTCGAACAGTACATATCGTCAGCAATGTAATTGCCCTAATGTTTAGGACAAAAAATCGGTTGCGTTTATTTAAAACTAATTTTTATGAGTACAAAATCTGTACTTAGAAATACTACATTTATTTTTAAACTATACATTTATATGATCACGACCATGTATATAATCCATTAAAAAACTTGAAACTATCTAAAACTTCTATTGTAGTCGGGTCAGAATTGCAAAAATGGCTCAATAATTCTTCGTTGAATCCACAATCGCTTAAATTTTCTTGCCCAAAAACATTAGACGATACTTTTGTGATACTGTCATCTGCTCTCGTAGCAATCGCGATGCCTATAAAAGTATAAGAGTTATATTTTGACTATACAGCTCATAAGATTTCGTTGATTAAGATGCGTGTATTCGCAAGTCCATACCATGTCTTGCTGCGGAAAATGAAGTTGTTGAGGCCAATTGCGCACAGCTTACCGAATACTGCTCTAATTGACTGGATTTCATCAAATGACAGAGAGAAGGCAATACATGGGGCAAAAGAGGTCCTCTCAATTCGAGAGAATAATATCTATCGTTATTATCATGCACTATGCTTTCTCGAACCTTTGCCATTAAAAAAGAAAGAAAGCAACAGTTGTATAAGATCAAACAGTTCTACAAGTTCTACAACATAAATGAATATGTTCTATAATACAGGGTCCGGCAAAATGATCTCCCACATTTTGCACCGCCACTGTGCCCGAACCACTGAAGAGAGGGGGAGCTTAGCGTAGTCGGTTGGTAGCTCGCGCCTTGCCATTTCAGTTGTCGTCATGAATTGAAAATCGCAGAGCATGCTCCAACGATATTCTTCAAAACATCCCACAAAATGCTCTTTTAATAACGAGTGACGAAGCTCATTTCCATCTGTCTGGCTGTGTGAACAAGCAGAATTTTCGCTACTGGGCACCAGAGAATCCGCGGCAGCTCCATGAAAGGCCACTTCACAGCCCATTTGTTACCGTTTGGTGTGCTGTTGGATCTTTTGGCGTTTGGAGTCCCTATTTTTTTGAAGAGGGAGGCGTGACGGTTACCGTAACTGCCGATCGATATGTCGACATGCAATTTTTTGGAACCAAAACTTAGAGAACTTGAACATCCGGGTGTGTGGTTTCAACAGGATGGAGCTACGGCTCATACGGCAAGAAGGACAATGGACGTTTTAAGGGAAATGTTTCCAGGACGCGTAATCTCGTTACGTGGAGACGTTGGGTGGCCTGCGCGTTCACCCGATCTTGCCCCATGCGACTTTTTCCTTTGGGGCTACCTGAAAGCGAAGGTTTTTCAACACCACCCCCGAACCATTGACGAATTGAAAGCAGCAATACGCCAAGAAATTACAGGAATATCGCCTCAAATTACTGCTCGAGTGATGGAAACTTTTAGAAATCAGCTTCGAATGTGTATCGAAAAAAATGGTCGCCACTTGGACTCTGTAATTTTCAAACCTCAATAAAAACCAATGGCATAGCATACATTTTCAGTTAATAAAAATAAAATCTAAATAGCATTTACAATGGCGTTTTTATTAAAGATTAAAATGTGGGAGATCATTTTGCCGGACCCTGTATAAATGTATTCTATTAATTATGCAATCTTACCTTGAGCGGTTTTAATGTAGCACCATGAAAAGCTGTTGGAGCCAAAAGCGTAGGAGGAACACCCGCTAACACACCGGTCGCCGCGATAGCTGATTTACAATTAATTAAAAAATTAAATAACGCTTGCGTTTCCACACCTGTTACGAACACAAGGGATTGTCTCAAGTTATCTACTTCGCTTTCTTTTTCCAAAGTCATTCTCGCCTAAAATGAATCCAAATATGAATATAAATTGAGAATGCACAATTTTTATGCGTACCTGTGAGTGATTAATTTTCTTTATTTCTGAATTTTCTACACCAAGACTTTCGAGCCATGCGTCTTGAGTTTCATCATCATCATCTTCTTTTTCTTTCTCATAATAGTCACTCTCGTGTTGACAATCCTTAGTAGACACAGCATCTACAGTTTTAGAATCAGAATCTGCTGTATCAGATCGTCTTTTGGAGTCTTTCCTTAAAGGCATAGAATATTCTATTTCTAAAACATAAGAAACACGATTATTATTTTAAACTTTAATATTTAAAAATCTGTTTTTATTTTTATTTCGCAATATAGTTATATTTCATTAATCCCTTCAGATATCTAATTTTAATGAAAACATGTTACAAAAAATTTTTTTAATTCAATTAAATTATTTTAATAAATAATTCAAAAATCAACTAAACAATTAATTTTTTCAAAATTTTAACTATATTTTTAACATATACATTATTATGCACATCTGTTCTCAGATAATGTCGACAAAATTGAATAATTTCAGTGGATAATGCGATCATTTCAGTCAAAGTTCGATATTTCGAATAATACAATTAAATAAACTTATTTCAGATTACACACTTCAAACTTTCAACACAATCATTCTGAAACGCTACTAATCCCCCTAAATTCCCGCTAAATTAAATTTATATAAACTGTAAAGAAATTATTATGAAAAATATTACTTCAGCCAGAACTCGAACCTGGGACCTTTCGATTTTTTAGAGCAAGTGTCTTAGCCAACTCGACTACTGAGGCTTGGGAAATATTCCTCGCAATAACTGATATGTATAGAGTAAAGATTTTCAAAATGGAAAAACGGGACGCGAGCAAAGTGAGCTAGAGAATTGTAAAAATGCTTATCGATTAAATGAATTTTGGTATAGGAGTCAGTAAGGGTCAAAGGATTATCTAAGAGTTTTTCTATAGCGCCGTAACAAATAGTTTCATTTATTGCGATATAATAAATAATATTGATATAAATTATTATAATAGACTATATTAGACAAGTAAACAGTAAAAGATATATATTCCGTTTAAGTAATGTTATAATCAATAATATGTGTTAACAATAAATGTCATGATGAGAGCACGACGGTTGCAATAGGTTTCCTTCAATACTTTGTATCGTTTGTGGAACATTATGCATGGCATCGTATTTGTCTGATGATGATATTTGCTTAAGAAGCCTAACATTTTTTTAAATCGAATTGTGAAATGCTCTTTCTAAGAGACTCTCTAAACCAAGTGGTTCTAAAACACAACCAATCAGAGACAGAAGGCGCGAAATTCAAGTATTTTTCTAGACGTTTCGTTTACATATCAATTATAATAGAAAAATCATATATGCGTTCCGTTTTCGGGAGAGTTATCGAGAGAGTTATCGGGACAACAGGATGCAACTAAAAAAAACGAGACGATCCTGTTAAAAACGGGATATCTAATCTGGTCTGGTCATTCTAGTATAGAGATAAACGCATTATATGGCCGCGTATATACAAACACATATATATTTCTTTAGAATGACCGTATATATGAAAGTATGACAGAGAACGCCGTCATTTTTATTCATTCAAAGTTAGATGTTTCAAATAATACAATTAAATAAATTTATTTCAGATATGATTGCATGCCAATAACTTTCGGACTTTCAACACAATCGGTCTGAAACTACTAATCCCCCAGATTAAAAGTCTAAAAATTATTATTGTGCTTACAGCACAACAGTTCGATAACATAATTAACAAAAAGCAAAGACTAATCATCCCCTCTTCAACTATTATTGAGGAGGGGATGTATCTTCTAATATAGGAAGACAGACATTTGGGAATTTTTCGGTATCACTATGCTTGTTTAAATGGGTCTGCTTTTTTATGTATATCATCTCTGTCTGATAAGAGATCTTTTGTAATAAAATGGTTGTTGTAAGAGAATAAATAGATAAATGTACACTAGCATTTTCTTGGCACAATTGAACAATTGTCAAAAGAAGCGGTATGGCAGATGAAAAATGGAACAGATATGTATGCAGCAGGGCAGCGATTAATATATGATCGAAAATTTAACTAATTTCACTCTCAAGTTCTAATTTCAACTGTATGTTATATTAGAGTAATTAATGCTCGTATATTCTTTAAAAAATTAAACAATGTCGTGGCTTATTTCGAGCTTATAATTAGAATAACTTTAAATTAATATAATTAACATAAGAATATAAATACTAAATAATATTCGAAACGATTCGGCTTACAAAGCCTTTTTCAGTGTTAAAACGCAGAAATATAATATTAAATTAACAAACCAAACAAATACAATAAAAATTTTAAAAACCATCAGTGGTTAAATGTCAATATATATAAAGAATTTAAACGTCAAAAAGTATTGACAGATTACAATAAGATAAAAAGATTTTAAGGCAAAACTATTTTATCAAGGGACATAAGGTAATCTACTGTCGACTGAAGTATTTAAAATCTTCTTATCTTATTGTAATCTATCAATACTTTTTGACGTTTGAATTCTTTATATATTGACACTTCATCACTGATGGTTTTTTTTTTATTTTCATAGAATTTATTATTTATTTGATTTGTTAATTTAACATTGTATTTCTGTTTTAACACTAAAGAAGGCTTTGTAAACCAAAACGTTTGTGTAGAATATTATTTAATATTTATATTCTTATGTTAATTATATTAATTTAAAGTTATTCTAATTATAAGTTCGAAATAAGCCACGACATTGTTTAATTTTTGTATATTATTTTATATTTTTTAATTATCGTAATTGTAAATGCATTTGAAAGTTTGAAGATGATTAATTATAATGATAAGAGATTGATAAAGAGAAAATGTAACGACGAATTATTATATAAATATTGTATTTGAACAATATTGAAGATGACTTAATAATGGTCAAAAAATGTCTAGAATTATTATAGTTTGCTATGAATAAACAACTTTAGAATATTCGCAACAAGAACTAGCGTTGGCTTGAATGCTTTTTTCTATATTTTATTAATTTACTAAAGAATATACGAGTATACAGAATGGCTCCAAATTTTGGCCCCACCCGTCCTCAGGAAGAGCGGACTAAACTAAGTTGAAAAGTCCTCTACCATTTTGCAATGCTCACAATAGTTAACGAGATATTAACGTTTAAAGATAGCCGAATCCGCCCGATCTACTATTGCCGAAGGTACGGCGCGCGGGCCGCGAGGAGCGGGGATAGCGCCTAGCGGCGCGCCACGCCGTGACGAACTTCGAGCGGCGGAGCGCTTGCTCCATTCCCCGCGCGCAGTGCGATCAGGAGGTCATACCTACGGCAATAGTAGATCGGGCGGATGCGCGTATTCAACTATCTTTAAACGTTAATATCTCATTACTATTGCAAGCATTAGAAAATAGTAGAAGACTTTCCGACTCAATTTAATCTGTTCAATTTAGTCTGCTCAGGACGGGTGGAGCTAAAATTTGAAGCCACTCCGTGTGCGTGCG